CCTCAATGTTTAAGGTTTGACTTAATTACACTTAGTATACCGAATTATCAATTCTATACCATAATTAATTAAGGGTATAATTAATTGTACATTTTTTACTCCTTAATTAAAGGAATCTGCACGTTTCTCTCTCCTAACCCCTCAGTCCCACCCACGTTTTATCCATACCCACGTTCTTTTTACCATTTTCCATCTTCTGAAACCAAATTCTCCCTCTAAATTCACAGAAAATTGAAGAAACCCTTCAACAAAGTTGGTTTCCCAGTTTACTCCAGTTGAAGTTCATCAATGAAGAACAACAAAGTTCATCAAAATTAAAGTCAAATCTTCAAAGTTCATACACACATTTACCTTCAGCTTCAAATTTTCTCAATGAAGAAGAACAAACCTTCAAAGAGACAAGAGAGCAGCAATTCCACCATTGACAGCCATTAAAAAGCTTTGAAGCTTTGAATTCAAATTTGGGTTTTCAAAAATCATTATTTATTTTGATTGGGTGTTGTTGAAAATAATTGGGAATATGTTTTGGAGTTTATATCTCAATTTTGAGGGGTTTTGGTGAAGATTAGACATGGTTTTGACTGAAATTCAGATTGAAACTCGAAGAAGAAGAAGAAGAAGAAGAAGAAGAAGAAGAAGAAGAAGAAGAAGAAGAAGAAGAAGAAGACATATTGCAGAAATTGTAGATAAATTGTAGAAAAATTGTAGATAAATTGTAGATAAATTGTAGACTGTTTTTTGCAGAAGATTTTGTAGAAGTTTTAGTCGTTTTGGATGTGTGAAAACAGAAAATAATGCATCTACAATCAGAATACAAATAATCTACAATTTATCTACAAAATATCTACAAACTGGATACATTGAATTTTAATATCCCAATTCCCATTTCAATTTTAGCATAATTGGCATTTTCGACATAATTGCGTTTTTTGCAGAAGATTTGTAGAAGTTTTAGTCGTTTTTGATTATTTGTAAAAACAGAAAACAAAGCACCTACAATTAGAATACAAATAATCTACAATTTATCTACAAAATATCTACAAACTGGGTACATTGAATTTTTATATCCCAATTTCTCATCCAATTGTAGCAGAATTGTGATTTTTGACATAATTACGTTTTTTCAGAAGATTTATAGAAGTTTTAGCCATTTTCTATTTGTGAAAAAAGAAAATAAAGCATCTACAATCAGAATACAAATAATCTACAATTTATCTACAATTTCTGCAATATGTCTTCTTCTTCTTCTTCTTCTTCTTCTTCTTCTTCTTCTTCTTCGAGTTTCAATCTGAATTTCAGTCAAAAACCAAGTCTAATCTTCACCAAAACCCCTCAAAATTAAGATATAAACTCCAAACCATATTCCCGATTTCAACAACACCCAATCCAAACAAATAATGATTTTTGAAAACCCAAATTTGAATTCAAAGCTTTCAAGCTTTTTAATGGCTATCAATGGTGGAAAATATCTAGAAGAATATTTACTTCCATAATTGTAGCGCGCCTAAATAGGAATATCTGGAAGAATATGATTTGATCTGATTTACGCCAAATCTTTTTAGAATATTGTGTTCCTCAATTTTAGCTCGACAAATTAGGAAGATTCAGCTACTATTAATTAGTATTTAATGATTGGTATAATAACTGTCGAAAAAATGTGGACAGGGCGGGTAAATTAGAAACTATGCACATTTTTAGTAATAAGGTTTCATATATGGTATAGGAAAGAAAAAATCTTTAATCATATTCACGTGAAACTATTCCGGCCCTTTTCAAATATAAAAAGCGACAAAGTCACAAAATAACATGTCTATATTATGAACGTGACATTCCTATTGATTAATTGTCTCATAAACGACAACTTCATTTGATATACGATTTTGTCAATTAGCTTTTATTCTATGTATGTCACGGATATTAGTATTTAGTTCCATGCCTTGGTACTCTTTCTCCTTATGATTGACACAGATTGATAGCTACAATGGCTTAATTTACGTATGGAAAAACGAAGTATCGTATCAACCAATTGTAAAGTTTATGTATAAAGAATTATTAAATACTCCCCCTTCGTTTCATTTCATGAGACATGAAGAAAGAAACCTTGTGAAACTTTGTGATTTTAAAGATACCATGATACGTGTGGCCAAAAAATAAATAAAATGAGAAGTTTAAAGTCAAATTATTTCTAAGTATAAAAATATGTCATTTGTTTAGAGCAAACTAAGAAGAAAATAATATCACTGGAAATAGAAGAGAGAGAGAGTAGTACTACTTAAAGTTCAATGCATAACCAACTATGAATTATTCAAGAATATCAAACTTAGTAAATTGTTGATGAATTTGTAATCATTTAACAAATCTTTTTGTGCATAAAAATGATAATCGGAATGTTTAAAACTCAAAAAGTATATATCAATTGGTACAAAAGATAATTAGGTGTATTTCCATCCAAGATTTTCAATGGGGTACAATGAGTTTAAATCTTAAAGATGATTGACCACAATGGAAATTAGGAAGGACAAAATAAAGTGGGTGTTGACGATCAAAACCCCCATATTGATTCAAAGGAAGATGAAGAAACGAGAAAGAAGAAGATGAAGGAATAGACAGAGAATTTCGGAGTCTCCAAGGAAGAAGATGAGCTTATGTCTGAAGGAGATCTGATGATATATATTTTAAAGATACACGTGTCAAGATCAGAACCCTTTGATTCTAAATTCTCAATTTGATCTGAGACGTTGGGTTATTAAAAGAAGAATGAATCACAACCATTCATTCAAAATGTTACACATTTCAGATGAAAATTTCACACGTGAATAGCACATGGACATAGTACATTGTAAAGGAATAATTCTGTTAGTTAGTTTTACAAATAGCCAATAGGATTTAGTACAAGTGTACAGAAATATTTATTTACATTCTTTTGTATCTATACATAGATTTGTATAAGAGTACCAAGCTGTGAATAAGAATATACACGGAAAATTTCTCAAATTCAGTCTCTTTTCTTTCAGTGGGAGGGTAGTCGATTTCAAAAACGTGCTTTTCGATTTCAAAAAAAAAGTGGGAGGGTAGACAATATATTTCCTCCATTTTAATTTATGTGACAATATGTTTTTATTCATTCCAAAAGAAAAATACTAACATTTTAAATTTGGATAATATTTAATTTAAATTTTATATTTTATCTTTAATGACAAGCTTTTATAATTATATAATATAATTATTATGACATATTTGAAATTATATTTTTCAAAAATCTTGATCCTTTATTTCTAAAAGAAGAATATGATATTAGAAGAGCGTCCACACACCCCCTCCCCCGGTCAAAAGAAAAATCGTCCGTCAAGAACTTACATAAGAGGATTCGTAAGTCCAATCTTTCTATATATAGTAAGTAGACGTGTAGCTTTAAAATACGCACATGCACAGAAATCAAGGGTAATACTCTCCAGAGAGTTCGAGTGATCGAAGTCCCTCTCCCTCCAACGAGAAGGAATGAGAAAACTGTTAGACTATTTTGAATTCCGTTCGCTGTATTGATATCGACCATTTAGAATCACACAAGTCATAATATATCATATTAAGCTACTCAAAATTTTAAATAGCTGAACAAAATGCAAATGCTCAAAACGATCGGTTGAGTCGTTTTAGAGAGAGTAGTACTACTTAAAGCTCAATGCATAACCAAATACGGATCATTAAAGACTCAAACTTAGTAAATTGTTGATGAATTTGTAATCATTTAACAAATTTTTTTGTACATAAAAATGATAATTAAAATATTTAAAATTCAAAATATATATATCAAATTGTACAAAAGATAAGTAGGTATATTGCATTCCCAAGATTGTCAATGGAATACAATGAGTTTAAATATTAAAGATGATGGACCACAGTGGAAACGAGGAAGGATGAAGGGGGAGGGTAAACATTTTTTAAAGATATACTCCCTTCTTAATTTATATGACAGTATTTTTTTATCCCTAGCTTCCAAAAGAAAGAGTAACATTTTAAATTTGAATATAATTTAATTTAAACTTCACATTTTATTTTTAATGATAAACTTTATAATTATATAATATAATTGTTACGACATTTAAAATCACATATTTCAAATATCTTGATCCTTTATTTCTTCAAGCAGAATATGATATTAGAAGAGCGTCCACCCCCCACCCCCACCCCTCCGGCCAAAAGAAAAATCGCCATTCGCCAGAACTTACATAAGAGGAAGTGTCAATTCTTAAGAGCAATCTTTCTATATATAGTAACTATACGTGTAGCTTTAAAATACACACATGCACATGAATCAAGAATATATACTCTCGAGAGTGTTCAACTCAAAGTCAAAGACCCTCTCCCTCCTTCAACGAGAAGGAACGAGAAAACATTACATTTTATTCTTAATGTTGACTCACATAAATTTTATGATTTATTTTAGATTGTGAGTTTTAAAAGTCTTTTCTCATTCTTAAACTTTAATCACAATTTAATAATATCATATAAATTGAGACTGAGGGAGTATCTCTTTACTCATATTTTGTTTTTTACTTCAACATTTTTACAAGAGGAAGGTGCTAATCAAGAAACACTTTGTGCATTGGGTAAAAGGCCGTTTTTATTGTGGTATACAAGTAAATTATATACCTGAATTCATTAGTAAGTGTGAATTGATGCTGAGTAAGCACGAAAACCATATGTTTTCACATGCATGCAAACTTGAAGATAAACCACGAATACATCTGACATAACTCTCCCCTCCTAATTGCATCACTCCTCACGTCTGCAGTTTTCTGCTTATTCACATGAGCTGCAACTATTTCCCAAGTTTCATCAGTTTCTTCCCTAATTTCCTCCAAAATCACCATTCACTCTTGGGAAGAGCCACCTTCTGTCTCCTCATTTTATATATTCTCACCGCCACATTTCACGAATAAAAACATTTTCCTCTTAGTCTCACCGTTCTTAAGACTTAAGACATAGTACACATTCTTTGATAAATCTATTACAATTTGGTCTAGCTAGCTATATTTCACTTCTTTTTTTCTTGCTATCTCGAAATTAAACATGGTTGAATTTCAAGAAATTATAGAGCCTTTGAGCCCAATGAGCGATGTGGAAGAGAACCAAGAATTAGATGATGAAGAAATCAACTATGATGATCTCAAACGGCGCATGTGGAAGGACCGCATGCGTATAAAGAAGCTTATAAAGACCAAGAAGGAAATCAACACTTCCACTTGTAGCAAAGATTTACTAGAGGATGATGAAGACGACGACTCACAAGCTAAGAAAGAACAATCCCGCCGTAAAAAGATGTCAAGAGCTCAAGATTCAGTCCTCAAGTACATGGTAAAAATCATGGAGATTTGCAAAGGTCAAGGCTTCGTTTATGGGATCGTGCCAGAAAAAGGGAAGCCAGTAACCGGCTCATCGGATAGTTTAAGGGAGTGGTGGAAGGAGAAGGTGAGGTTTGAACAAAATGCTCCAGCTGCCATTGCTGCATTCTTGCCTAAATTAGTGGAAGAAAATATATTGGATCCTACTTCATGCATGCATCTTCTTCAAGACTTGCAAGATACTACTTTGGGCTCACTACTTTCTGCCCTAATGCAACATTGTATACCTCCACAAAGGAGGTTTCCTTTGGATACAGGGTTGGCCCCACCTTGGTGGCCAACAGGGAGGGAACTTTGGTGGGGTGATCAAGGTTCTTCACAAGAATTAGGTCCGCCACCTTACAAGAAGCCTCATGATTTGAAAAAGGCATGGAAAGTAAGTGTTTTGGCTGCTATTATCAAGCATATGACTACTAATATGGATAAGATGAAAAGGTTGGTTAAACAATCCAAGAGTTTGCAAAACAAGATGACAGCTAAAGAAACAGCTACTTGGTCAAAAGTTGTTCATCAAGAAGAAGTCCTTCTCGAGCTCACTGAAAAAGCTCTCAAGATTTCAACATCAAAGGAGGAGGAGGAGGAGGAGGAGGAAGAAGAAGAAAATAAGGGAAAAGAAGATGAATATCTTGCTTTAGTACCCAAAATTGGTAATCATGTCAATATATTTGATGACTCTACTTTGAGGGGAAAGGAGAAAAGGAAAGGGGTGTTCGAGAGCGATATAGACATGGAGGAGGAAATTTATGCTACCCAAAATTCAAGTAATTGCGCGCAAAGTGATTTAGGGGTGGGATTACCATACAAGAATTCAAGAATTGACTCCGAGAAGGGGGAGGATCAATTACTTGATCTGTCCATCAACAACTTTCATAGCTTGATTGAAGTACAACCAATTCCACACGAAGAGATAATGGTTGGTCATGGCCAACATGATTGGGTGAACATGGAGATAAAAAGGAGCTTCGATAGCTACAATGCATCACAAAATGCTAATGGAGGATCAGTTGTGGAGAATTTCGAAGGATTTTGGGGAGGCAATGTCCTTGAGCAACTTCATTATGATCCCTCAACTTATGGAAACAAGACTTTGAATGCTACTCCACAAGAAGATGTTGTTATACATCATCAAGCTCCTATTTCTGTTTGGGATTTGGCATATGAGGAAAGCTCCAATTAAAATGAACCATTACTGCTTTTTGTGTTTCTATTTTTTTTTCTTTCGAACATTTAGTAGATTACTTATATTTCTTATTTTAGACGCACTTTATGGACACATATATATATATATATATATATATATATATATATATATATATATATTAAAATTGGTATAATTATCTTTNTATAATTATCTTTTTCTTTAATGCTCATTTTTTTCCTTTGACATTATCATGATGAAGGGGAGCCTTGGTACAATAGTAAAGTTGTCTTTGTGTGACTTAGGTCACGGGTTCAAGTCATGGAATCAGCCACTAATGTTTCCGTTATGGTAGACTGCTTACATCATACCCCCTTGGTGAAACTCTTCCTTGAAGACTGCGTGAACGCGAAATATTTCATACACCTGAGTTGCCCTTTTTATTGATCATTTTAGAGGTTTTCCTTGGATTATTCAATACTATCTTAGTTTTGTTAAAAATCATTTGTCTACTACTTGAAATTTAGGGGCAAAAAAATTGCCTAGCGTAACTTAATGAGATAATAGAGGGAAACCTTTCTGCCTCAAGATCCTTAAAAGGTGAACTGTACAAGATTTAAATTAATTTTCAATTTCAATAATCATAGAAACTGTGTCTCTGGGGTATTAAATCTTCATACTCCAATCTAGTAGCAGTGCAAGAAAAACCCTTTCTAAACTTTGAGTTGTTGTTGTTGGCCTCTATCTCCACCTCCACATCCACGGCAAATACTGCACAAACCGGTCTATGATCTGAAAATCTTGACTCTCCTCGAATATAAGATAATTGTTCAATACCCTCGCCTAACCATAATATTCTATCACACCTGAAATTTAAAAATATATGTAAGGATCAAATATATTATTATAAGCCCTAGGTTAGAGTATATGTAGTACACCGGTTGACTAAAGGTTATTGTTCATCTGGTGTTTGGTTAGCAAAAATATTCTATCAAAATGGGGAAAATGACTTCCCTCCCATGTCCAGAAGTCATTTTCTGTAGAATTGTCTTCACTTTAAACTTTTTATTACTTGTTCCAACTCCCACTTAGATACTAGTAATCTTTAACGCTCAAAATTTTCATCAAGTACACTCTCCAAGTTGCTAATAATTATTAATTTTTTAATCGAAAAATATTTTTCATGATAAACATTTTCCTTGAAAACCGAAGTTTATCCTGTCAAACATACTCGTGTTATGTCCTTGTCTCGTCTAGGTGAAAGGTTAATTTTTATTAATAGAAACACTATGCAGTGAGGTTAATTAAGAGAGAGAGAGAGAGAGAGATTAACCATGCAGGGGTTCGACGTTTCTTCTTTGATTTGGTAGTCTCTCCGGCATAGGAATCTGAATTATGAGAGTACTTATAAGTTGGGGCAAAGAAGATCTTGCCTTCATTCCACCCACTGAATACTCTTCCTGCTTCTCTCTCCACATTCAGCTGCCATCAACATAAATAAATATATGATAATAATATAATTAACATCACCTCCTTCGTTTCCTCTAAGGATTAAAATATTTTAATGACCTAATCATTTAATTCTGTCAGGTTGACACCCTAAGATCTTGTAGGTCCAACATAATTTTCAACCTTTACTAGGTGTCCCGTTGACTTCATGTTAATCCTTTTCCCTTTTCCCAATAATAAGCACCACACAAATAAATAAATAAAAAAAAAAAAAAGAAAGAAAAAAAGCCACCAAACCTGATCCTTTTCAAGAAGAGAGTCCCAGTCATTATCCTCTAACAAAAGCCTCGTTTCCTCATAGCTCAAAGACACTCTGTAGTTCAAGTCTCCAAGCCATATCACACGGCTGAAAATTAAAATTTCAAGTCTACATCATTATTTACTTTCATAGAAATGTTATCTTGAAAAAAAGGCCCAAGTAAAAAGAGGTAAATAAAATTCCATACTATTTTTGAATCTACTTACAACTTTATATAATTTTTTGGATGCTCAAGGTACAAACATGATTGTAGTACTTAGATAGGATAAACCTTTGAACTTTGTAATATTGAACTTTATGTACTTTTTAAATGGGTTCAAAATCTAATACTAGTAATTTTTTCAATATATATATTTATGTCCATGACGAAAATATTAAGTTCGATTGAACCAATCGAACAAAAGCTCCATCCACCTTTAATATTACATACTAAGCAAATAGTATGTATTATTCCTTCCATCATAATTTATGTGGTTCTTTTCACTTCTCAAGAGTCAATTTACTAATTTTAAAGCTAAATTCGATTAGATCAATTTAACAATTTAAAATTATAATTTTTATCTTCAAAAACTATATAATTAATACTATAAGTTGCATTTCTTCTCATGTCAATATGATAAAAAAGATTATATTTTAAAATATTGGTCAAAGTTCACATCGTTTGAATTTTGAGAAATAAACTTATATACAAAGTGTTATGATGGAAATGACCACTAGATAATGAAAAACTTACCCATGATCACTAATTTTTTCTGCCATTCGGCTGTCTGGAATCCTACAAATTCTGGGAAATTGTATGCTTTTGAGAATCTCAGCTACATCAGCATTTCTTCTCAGCTCATCTCCTTCTTTCTCCCCAGAAGCCAAGTGACTGCACACAAAGCAAAAGCTCGTTCGATACAGTGACATGCTTATTGCTATACACCCCTGCATATATATAATATAAATCACGTTCCATAAAAGTCAATGGAAAAAGATACACCAAAATTGAAAATGCTAGATTCGATATAAAACCAATTTAACTAGGCATATTCTTATTGTAAAGTTGATTTTTTAATATATTTATAATGGTTGTGACTAGAGTAGCTTGTGTGCATCTCAACTATTCCACCGCACATCTGCTACCTTCCACCAGCACATATATTGGCAGAGGCAAATTTAGAATTTCTAGAATATGGGTACACCACTAAAAAGAATGAGAAAAAGAAAGTTTTAATGGGAATTGAACTATTTTCCTTTGGGTAAATAATTCAACATTTAACCAAGTTCATCATTCAAGAACATAGGGGTCAACAAATAATATTAAATCAATTCTACAAAATATAAACATAAAACATCTAGTTCGACAGGAAACCCATGGATTCACGTGCCCCGTAACCAAAAAAGAAAAGTTGATTCTTACCAAGCAAATGTGGTACATGAAAAGTACTCTTCCATCACTTTCAATGATCTATTAAACCTACCATATTGAAATTTAAATGAAAAGGAAGAATAGTCAAATATTAAAACATTGTTGAACCAACCTTGTTCCCAAGACAACCCATGATACCTCTTCCAAGAGAAGATATTCTGAGATGGCCAATATGATGTGCTAACTCTTTTCGTGCCCAAACTGAAAGGAAAATCCCCACCATTTGCTTACTCGCTATGAGATTATAACTCAAACCATTAGAAGAAGGAAATTCTGCAATTGATTGTAAATCTTCTTCACTCGAATCGCGATAATGATTCAAGGGAGAACAAGAAGGATCAGTGAGCTTTCTTTGACGCCTTGTTGTTGTTGTTGTTGTTGACTCTAAAGGGCAATTACAGGTCTTGAGAAGGGTACTATTAGCTCTCAAACTCCTGCTAAGGCTTTTAAGAGAATGTTTATGAAAAGAGTTGGATTTTGAATGTTTTGAATTATGGGAGCTTGAATCACAAGAATGAACTGGTTCATGATATGATTTGTTTAATGCATGGCTTATGAGGGCTAACCATCTTGCTGCTGGCTCACTATCTTCACTCACTAATACATTTCCTGCATTTAAGGGAACAATTTCTTGAAACCTGAAAATTAAAACAAAAAAAATAATTATTTTATGTTCGCGCAAATTAAAATTAACAAATTATGTATAGTTATTAATCATACCCCAAAACATATATGTCCGCAGAACCTTCCACTTGCAAGAAATCTTCAAGATTAAGTCCATGATTAGGAGTTTTTCCTCCTACATTCCATGTACCGGCAAAAACCCTAGTAGATTTTCAGTCACATATTCTAGTTAATTAATAAAAAACTGACTTGAAAATCAAGAAACATTAATGTGGTATGAATTATTAGTCATACCTAATACTTTTAATCATAGTAGCAGGTGCCGTGGAATGATCAAAAGTCGAAAGATTTAGGCCTTCAATCCGTGCACTATTATGCCTTTCTGAGAGTAGATAAGAAATTAGTCCCATGGTTGTGTGGTTTGGGTTTTCTTCCAATCTTAAGTTTGAAACTCAAGGTATATAACTTTTTCAATGGGCAAAGCCCTCACAGGTCAATTCTATAATATGAAAACTACTTACACATTATGTTTAATTTTACAGCTGTATAATGAAAAGAGAAATAGCATTGATAATAATCAATTATACACTTTAGTCTTCTGTTAGGTGAGCTACCAAAATACTGTGCCAGAAGCTAAGCAGATGTTAGTCTATCCCTAATAACACCATTTTAATTAGAAATTTCATAATTTATTTCTCCCTATACGACATAAACCCGGTGATGTAATTAAAGGTTGGAGTCAAATGGCTACATTGGTTAGACTAAATGCACTACAGCTCAATAATGATAACCTTAATGGGATATGTCCAAGTAGTACCATAATACAGATTAAATTAAAAAACGTTCTAGGATAAGATTATTTTATTCCCTCACATGCGATGAAGATTAAAAAAGGTTTTTAGAATCATACAAATTCAATTAATATAGATGAACATACAATGGATATATTTAAAAGAATAGTACAATTCCATCATGCACAGGAAAAGTTCATAAAATTTAATTAATACCCATGCATTAAAAATTAAGTCATGTTGCTGATGATAATTTAATCCCTACCTGAGAAACTTCTCTTCACTGTAGGAGACGTTTCAAGAAAAGCTTTTCTCCTTGATATAATCTTCCAATCCACTTCTGCTCCCAAATCACCCAACCAAAAATTAAAAAATATCCATTATCAAATTCAAAGAAATATATATATATTACTCCAAAAAAAAATGACAAAGGTAACTATTGAAAACCGAACCTTGATCATTGTTATCTGATTGTGTTAGATCCTCTTCAGAGCTTCCTAAACTGCTTCTTTTGGAACTAAAGAGCTTTGGGATGATACACTTTTATTTTACAACATGAAAAAAAATATTCAAAACTCTATTTTTCCAAGAGATCAAGAAAATTAAAAAAACAATAGAAAAATAATAAATGTACCTTCTTTTTTTCACCCTTAACAGAATTGTCAGGGGTGGTGGCTGTAGAGCTGCTAGGGGAAGTGCTAGCGCCGCCGCCGGCGGTGGTGTTGACGGCGGCTGCCTTAATCATGTGGATGTTATCATCAGATTTACAACGCCTTGTTGGCGACGACATTCATGCATTCATTCACTTCAAATTGTAACGTTCGATTAAATATAGTTCCAAAATTGGGGTCAAGCCCCAGTTTTTCTTATGGATTAACAACTAATTAATTACGTTAATTAATTAAATAAATCTACCAATGCACAAAACACCAAAGAAAACTCCAAGAAACTTTCTTGATTTCTTTCTTGTCTACCTAAATTTCTGTGTTCTTTTTGTTCTGTGCTTTGTGTTTGACTTTTTATTTCCTTGAATTCTTTTTTGTTATTATTATTATTATTATTATTATTATTATTATTATTATTATTATTATTATTATTACCATAATTAATTAAACTTTTTTCTTTTTTTGCTTTTAGGGTTTCTCTTTTTTTTTTCATTAATTTTTCTTTTGTTAATTTGTAGTTTTTTTAAAAAATAATTAAAAAATAATTAAAAAATAATTATCCAATGGGATGAGAGTTTGCCGCCAAATCTTTCGGAGGTTTTGGGGTAATTGGTGATTAAACAGTTAACATCAACGGGAGTAATTTTCATAATTTTCATTAGTGGTTGCCCCCTGTTGACAGTTCATTATAAGCATGTCCCCTTAAATTTTTATTTTTAT